ATACTGGAAGGCTGCTATAAGATTTCTCAAGAGCCTTCTATTTTCCAGGCTGAACAAGCCTAACTCTCTCAGCCTGTCCTCATATGAGAGGTGCTCCAGCCCTCTGACCATCTAGGTAGCCTTCCTCTGGACTCGCTCCAACAGCTCCATGTCTTTCTTGTGTTGGAGTCTCCAAAAAAAACCACTCCAAAAAACCCTAAAAGACTTTGCTGCCAGCCTGCCTGGCTGATGTTTAATACTGTTACTCAATTAGGATTGGGTGTTAAGATCTATGCCACCACTTCTAATGTGGTTGAATGTATCATTTGTTTTATTTAGGATTAGAGTGCATTACTAATCACTAGAACAGAACTTTGTACCTTTACTTTACGAATTTCATAAGATTTCATCTGGCCTGGTGCTCCACTTTTTCAAGTGTCTGGACTGAAGCTCTGCTATTCAGTATGTCAGCTACTTTTCCTAGTTTAGTATAATCCATAAATTTACTGGGAGTTCATTCTGTATCATTGTCAAGGTTGAGGATGAAAATAGTAAAAAGGATAAGACCCCATATTGACTTTTTAGTGCTCAACTTATTACTGGCCACCAGCTGAAAATGAAGCCATTGATTCCTACCCTTTTAGCACAGCTGCCAGACCAATGTTTAATCTATTTAGTGTATATTTTGTCAGCTACCAAAAGGCACTGCTGTAAGTAATGGTGTCAAAAAGACATGCTGAAGTTGAGCACTATTACATCAAGCACTATTATGTTTCTCTCCGGTCCATCTAAAGAGTCATTTTGTCAGAGAAGACAATCAGGATGATCACATGTGATTAACCTTTGGTAAATCTGTCAAAGTGCCCCTGATCTGTGTTTTCCTAGAAGACACATTCTTTCCAGGGATTACCTTGCTTTTCTTAAAAATTCATGTAATGTTAACACTCTACAGGCAGTAGGAACTTCTCATCACCACTGTTTTTCACATATCATGCCAGCCTTTCACAGAATTAGTCAGCTTTTTCAGCACCATTTGGTGAAAGGTGTCTGGATCACTGCCTATGAAATAAGCCATCTTGTTTTGTCTGTTGCTCCCCAGTATTGGCTGTCCCTGTTCTTCTTAAATCATCTTGGTACATGCAGATGTCTAGGAACAGATGTGCTGTATAAATTAATGCAGAAATGGCATTTGGTACTTCTGCTTTTTTCATATTGGATTCCAGCACCACACTATTGCCTCACGCATTGATTAATGGACCTGCATTATATATGAACTTCCTTTGTGACTAGTATACCCACGGAAGATCTTTTTCATACTAGTGTGCCTTACCAGTCTTAGCTCTAGCTGAGGGTTGGCCCACGGAATCTAATTTATTCACACAAGGACTACGACAATAGTAGCTTCAGTTCAGAAATTTCCTTAACCATAACTGATAGAAATAATGTAATGACCAGAAGATGAACTATAGATATTTACCATATTCTAAATTTTTTCTCTAGGCATTTACTTTTCATCATTCCCAGTGTCAGCATACTGGACTAGACAAAATGAACCCAGTATGGCCTTTGGCTACATCCAAAGACAGGATTTTTTGCCAAATATATTATACATTTTGGAATTTTTTTTGGATTTTCCTGCTGTCTTAAAGACTCTTTTTTTTTGGTGATGCACATCTATATTGTAAATAACAATAAACGACTTCATAACTATATCATGGTTCAGTTCTCTTGAGATTTACAAAACTGATATAGTCTGCACAGTCTTACCTTCATCTGGTAAGCAGTTTGGAACACATGTAAATCAGAGTTTCAAACAGCTGTTAATTGTCCACACTATTTTTTAAGTCATTTATTCCCACACTCTGTTTTGAACTACTCTGCCAGCTTTCTCTGAAGTAATACCTGCCCACAATTCAGAGGCAGACAGGGACAAGTCCCCCCAAACCACCTTCAATGATCTGATTTTCTCTCTCCACAATCTGCAATTCTTTTAACCCACTGGAAGACTTTGACCATATCTCCCACATGACATCACGCAGTACCTCTGGACATGCAATAGATATCATCAGTTTCATCCTGTCAAGAATGCCTCTTTGGCCTATAATAGACTCCTCAAATTATTTGGAATTCTATCAACCAAAAACACCCATCAAAAAAAATAAAAACAATTACTGCAATTGCTGCTATGTAACTACACCAGACCCCCATCAAATCTGTGTACAAGTGCTCTAGAGAGAGCTAAGGAGTATAAGTGTATTGACTTTTTTTTCACTTGGTCTTAGAGCTAATAATTATTTACTGATAATCTACATGTCCTTTTTGAATCTTCATCATACTGACCTCCTGTTCTGCTCCTAGGAGAGAGGTGACACTTTACCCTCCCGTACTCACTTACCAAACTTTTTATAGAGGAAGATGGATTTTAAGTTGAATTCTTGTACGTCACAGATAAAAAACACTGAAGAAAAAAATATCGTCATCAGAAACAAGAGGGATCTCTCCTACTAGACAATTGTAGAAGAAAAATAAAAATCTATCTAGAGACAGATGACAGAGAACCATTTAAAAAATGGCTTTTATATTTCTGAGAAATGCATTTTGTTAACATTTTCTTGACAAGCTTAAAATAGTCACTGTGCAGACGCTTATGGATGACATTCGGACAATGTCTGTCCAGAAGAATTATCCAGATATTCTACAGGACTGGTTTGTTGTGGGGGGATTTTTTATCCCTTTTATGAAGTTCTCTTTTGATTTTTGATTTTACTGTCTTTTTTAGTTGATCTGCTGTAGGAACCAATCTCTGTCTCTTCCATTTTTTTTCTTAGACTAGTGTCTGCCCATCTAACTGCCTTTATGAGATGTCATTCACATGGAACACACTACTGATTTTATAATTTTCTGCTATGTTTATTAGTAGAGTATGCTTGCAGTCATATACTATCAAATATAGGTTTAATATCAGAACTGATTTGGACAGGTAAAGTATACTAGAATGCAAGTGTTATTTACACGGAGGTGATAAAAGTAATTATCAGACTAGTAAAATCTTCATAATCATTTCAACCCTCTGGAATTTTTGGCAGTTACAGTTTTGTTACTATGATTTCAAATGTTTTAGTAAATGGTATACTTTCTGCTCACAGTTCCTTTTTTAAATCAGTCCATGGTTAGTTAAGAGAAAAATATTTCCATGTTGGGTTTATTTTTTTTGAATAAACAAAAGGGTTCAGATTTTCTTAACTTGACTTTGTACGGCAGGTAGATTCCTGTAAAAATCTAATCTTGAAAAAGTTATTCTTGTCTTCCCATTTGCCACCATGTGAACCTTACTAACCATATAGTTCCCAGAGTAGCTGAGTGTAATTTTTATTATTATTGATAGTTTATCTTTTGAAATTTCTTCCAGCTCTGTGATCTTCCCTCACTCTTTTTCCTTAATTTCACATGGAAGCTTTTCAACCTTACCTTGCAAAGACCTTTACATTATGTGAACTTTTTTATTTTTCTCATTTTTTCACTTTTATATCCTCCTCCAATTTTCATGGACTCTGCAGCTCTTCTTTATCTCCTCCTTTCACAGCTTATTTCTCATACAAATAAGAATTGTTTGTTTCTGGAGTAATTTATTGAGCTGTTACTGACTATTAAATCCCCTTTTCCTGAGATGTCTGTTCAGGGGACTCTGTCATCTTCCATGTGTTCATTACTTATTACCTATGTTTCTGTAAAGCCCAGGGGCTTCCCAAATTTCATTAGCTATACTGTGCTGAAACCATTCCTTTTCAAACATCTAACATTTCTAACTCCTTTAGAACTCCCTTTCTGTTCTGTTTAGTTTCTATCTTCTGTATTAGCTATTTTCATCATAGATGTATTTGAAATGATTACCTAAAAGAAGTTAATCTCTGGAATGTGTGCTCAGTTTTTTAATTTTTTTGGTCTGCATTTGTAAATTGATCTGAAACTGAAATTACTATTGCAGTGCTAAAATTCCCATCTACAAGGAAAGAAAACCAGAGATCATACCTTACAAGCCAAATCCTGCAGAGAAGAATTAATTTTAGTATGTTTTTCAGTAAAAAGGAATGTTACACGTTCTGGGATCAAATCCACATTTGAAGATCCCAGGGAAATCAAGAGTGATACCCTGTCACTGTTGAGTGATATCCTCAGACTTCTTCTGACCTCTTTACAGAAGTGCCAATTTTAAAGGAGCCTTAAATAATTTATTTAGATAAGTTAAGAATTATGCCCAGGCAAAGCCTTTGCTTACAGAGATTTACACTGTTTACATGGACTCAAGAATTTATTGCTAGCCTAATTAAAATCTTAACCTACTAACAGAAATACAAACCCCAGATATTACTAGCCTATTTACAATAATGTATTTTCTGTCCAAGTTATTGCTATAATATCTTAATACTATTACTATTTCTTTTTTCAAAAATGCAAAGATATAGTGTCTAATCCTTTTCTCTGGAGTTGTTCTTCTCTTTTCAATACTCCTGCGGTTCTAAAGACAAAAAAACCCAGACTTCCTCAAGAAGAATTGGGGGGTGGGGGACATTTACAGGAAGTCATCGATATCCTGACGTCTTCACTGGGAAGAATATAATCTTTATAGTGGAGATTTCTTCCTCCATCTTGTGGTGTGGCTCTTCTTCTAGGTGATTAGCTTAAATTTCTGTCTCTTCAGTTACTGTAAATAGCTACTGTTTGTTACACAGTGCCCAGGCTTGTTAAAGCTTTACTATATGGATGTCAGGAGTTATGTCAGAAAATAGTCACTTAACCTCCAGATGACTGTTAAAAAGAGGCAAACCATCTCTGGCCAAAGTGAGCCTACAGAGGGCCAGACCAGTACATAGCCTGCTGTCTTTAACTACTAAGAGGAAAAAATACTAGATTACATGTTTGTATTGTTTGCCAGGACCTCCATACCTAAAAGAATGGAAAAATTGACTGATACATATTGGTAAAAAAATGCTTCTTCTTTTTATGTCATTGTTTGATTTTAGCTTGGGAGCAACAGTTCAGTTCTCCTGTGATGAAGATTATGTGCTACAAGGTTCAAAAAGTATCACCTGTCAGAGGATCGCTGAAGTGTTTGCTGCATGGAGTGATCACAGACCTGTGTGTAAAGGTAAAGAGGAATTCTTACCCTTATGGTGATATATTCATTTCACGTTCAGCTGTTGTTTGACAGCCAATTCTATTAAATTAATATTTTGTATGTACCTGTAGTTTTAATACTAGTGTCCTCACTTTTCTAGAAAAAAAGTCTCACTTGTACTGTTTAATATGAACTCTACTGTATTTCATTATGCTTATTTTACTTGGGAATTTACATTATGCAATTTGCTTCATAATGAGCTGATGAAAATCTGTTAAGTGCTAAATATTAAGACTCACCAAGATGCATTTTAAAATTGCAGTGATTCACTATGCAATCAGTACTTCATGAAGCATCTTCATTATGTATTTGCTAAGTAGATGAGAAAGACTTGAATGTGGGATTGATAAGAGATGGAGAAGTAAGTCTACACCTGAGTTTGACCCTGACTAAATGGATAAAGGGCAAAAACCACAGAAGAATGTAAGAGAAGAAAAGCATACAGTCGTTCTGCTTAATGTATTTGATGTCCAAATACTACGGCTAGTATGATGAATACCTGAATCAAGAAATGAAAGTATTAGTATATATATATGTGCTACATATATAATGGAAGTATATGTGTGCACCTATACATGTAAATTGGCATAACAGCAAAGGTCAATATTGGAGAGTACAGTTTGTTCAAAGAGAACCCTTGAGTATGGGAAACAGAAGGGATATTTACCTTGTAATGCGAGGCTATGGACACTTAAACAAATGTCTAGAGAGAACCTGGAGTGGTTTCTGAACAGTGGAAGAGGGCAAAAAAGGCTGAGGGTGGTATCCAGATGGTGTGTAGTAGAAATCCACAAAGTCATTATTCATAGAAAAAGTATGTGATTCACAACCAAAAGAACAGTGTTTCACTTCTTTACACTCAACAACTTCTAGAAGTAGCCAATTCCACCTCAAAAAGCAGAGGACCAAGATTAAGAAAGTTATTAGGAATAGATACAATGCCATATGGTGAAGAGCCAGACAGATGGTATAGATGTTATAGTTTATGCAATATGAAATGCTTTAGAGTGTAATTAGTCACATTAAAATTACTGATTTAAGTACCTTTTGTGTGCTATAATTTTGGTTCTTTTGATTAACAAGATGTTTCAATTAGACTCTTAAACATACTAAAGTTGGAATATAAACATTAATTCTAGACTAATAATTATATCTTCTCTAAGTTTCATGCGCAGAACATACAATCAACATTTTGAAAGAATTTTGCATAAGTAGCATAAATATCAAGTAGTAACATGAAGCAAGTAGCTGCAAAAATATGTGTGCATCTGCTTGTTGCACTTGCATGTTTGTGTACAAATGATTTGTACAAACAAATTAGACATTCATGCATAAATGTTACTTTATGCAAGAAATTAATATTTTCTTATGAAATGATACAGCTTTGCAGATAATGAGGGCACAGGTGGTGTATTAGACACTTTACCTGTTATTCTTTAAAATCTCACTTAAAATGCTGCTTTTTATCACGTAGTGTTTCCTATTTGAACAGTACAGTTTGCAATTTTCTTCATTCAGTTATATAGTTTATATGGTGCACACACCAAAAATCCCACAGTAATGATGCAATTTTTCCAAAATGGCATGTGAATATAAATAATTACTTACATTAATATCTTGCAGTTGGCCAGAGTTCTAAAGATGAACTCTCCAATTCTGTTAGATACATTTTGATTTGGCATCACAAATCCTCAGGAGTTACTCTCATAGTGCATATGTCCTGACAAAAATGAAAGATCAACTCTCCGTAGGAGTTACCATGTAATACCAGCTGGAATCATATTTGTGCAAGTTAATCTGGAATACGGCTGAAGATTTTCTACAGGAGAAATGTAACAGGACTTTGAGAAGGAAAACTGATGCATCACTTCCAAAATAGAAGCAAATATTGTGGATTATCAACATACTTTAGACCGTAAGAGTAGTTTCCAGGAAAATACTACTTCGGAGGTTGGTCTGATTTCTGAACTTTTTGACTTCTAGAAAATTTTAAAGTTACATCAGCTATCCTGACTAGATCTATTTGTAGTCGGAGCAAATTATTCTTTCTTTCTCAACAATTTATTCTTTTTTTTCTTATATTGTTTATATTTTTTTCATGTTTTATAATGCATTTCTCACATCACCCCAGAAAACCAGTAGTCCAGTAGATGGACCTGGTGAAGAAATATGGCAAAAAATCAAAAAATTTGCCCAATTGTGATTTAAGAACAAAGTGTATTGAAAATAAGTTAGAATCTGGAGGTATGAGAAAAGCATGGCTTTTTGTTGTAGGCAAGAGGCAGCTGAAAATTAACCAGTGACTTTCTGCATTTTATTGAAATTTTAAAGTGTATTCATCCTCTCAGACATGTGTTCTTTCTCTTTTTCGAGTTCAATGCATATTGCAAGGCTAAAATTCTGCTGAGGATTTTAAAATTTTTCCCAATTTAATTGGGAAATCTTGTAGCATACCATTGTTATAGGAAAGAAGAACAAGTAATATCTTCTCATCCTTCCCAAGAAAGAAAAAAACGTGTTAAAAAATGGCATGAGAATCTTTTCCCAGGCATTTATTGCATACTGAGTTAGAATTTTGTTATTCAAAAGATGCAGATTTATGCAGTTGTTCGTTATTTCATATCTCAAGAAGTGCTTAATACATTTGACTGTAATAATATGACTGCTTACATTGACTTTCTGTGACTTCATTTAAGAAGGACTTTTTAAACACTTCAGGACTAAGACCCTCCTAGTATGTCTGCCATGGGATCCACTGTACCCCTACAGGGCAATGTTATTATTACAAAGCCAGCTTGCTTAAGCAGAGACAATTGCGTACTTTACGAATCTATGTGCCAGTTGATAAATCTCTTCCTCTCATTTACGTTTCAGGAAATGAAACAGATAGATCTATTCACAGTTAGTCGATTAGCTTTTTTATTTTCAAGCCTGCTGCTCCTGTTTTCTGCTTGCTTGTTTCTCAGACTCTGTGAAACATCTATGAATGAGGCCTTTTATAAGTGTGCTGGCAAGTCAGCAACAAGTTCTGCGACAAATTCAGTATTTTGGAAAAGGTCATCTAATCTGTAGCAAGCAAAAGTGGTTTTGAAATAATTCTTTGTATCTGAGAAAACTAAAGGAGAGACAATTTGTGGTTTAAACCATGATCATCGAGTTAGTAGGTAGAGTAGAATGTAATTTGGATTACTGCTAAAAAAATACGTGATACTATGTATTTGAATTGGGTTCTGAAATTTAGAGCATTTTTTTTTGCTTCATATTGTTATTTTGGTCAGTTCATTTCACTGACTAAAGTGATTTTAAACCAGCATTGAATTCATGGACTCAGTATCTTTCACCTGATCAATTGTAAACATCAATCTGATTAATATGCAAGCAGAATGCACATTACGAATTTTAGATCTTTCCTTTATAAACACCTTTACTAATCTACAGTACATTGTTGAAAAATCCACCTATGCCTCACTTCTCTCTGAAATGCAGACATGTATCTGGGCATCTTAAATGTGTTGCTGATTAACAATATGTGTGTATATGTGTACACACCCCTTTTGGTACAGGTAACTCATTATAGATGAATAAGGCTGAAAGTGGTCCTGACAGGTCAGCACTACTTCCTTATTCCAGCTGCATTTATTCCCAGAAGATTCTTGATTAACATTATTTGTTTCCAAGGAAAGCGGTCTTAGAACCTGCTCAAGCACTCCAGTCCTTCTGTTAGCTTGCAGGTAGAAGAATTATTCTAATTCAAATGTGAACCATATTTCAGCAACTTATTTCAATATATGTTTCTATATAAAAAGCAGATTCTTTAGCTAGTCTTTTCAAAGGCTTATTGTATATTTCAAAAATACCTGCTCTTTTAACTAATCATCAGTCGTTTGGTCAGTCCTTCCTCACAGGCCAAGGTTATAGACCTTTAGCCTTTTTCATGACTTTCCCAGTGGATCTGTGTCTTTCTTAAAATACCTTTTCTATAAATTGGCTTAATATTTTAGAAGGGGCTTTCCCAGTGCTTAGTGGAGAGGAGGAATTACTTCTTACATTTTTAAATATTCTTATACCTCTAACTATATGTGAATCTTCCAGCTTTATTGTCTTAACTGCAGGATGTTGTTTTCTCAGGTTATGTTTCTGAGCTACTGTAACCCCTGAAGTTTTGCTGACAACTGACATGCTCCTTATCTCTTTTTGTGAATTGATTATTCCTGCCTTCATGCTTTGTCTTATACTTCTCTCTACTGGACTGCATGCTATTTTAATGTCACTTCTGCAATTTCTCATTTTTAATTCTAGTTATGTTTGCTAATATATTCGCAGTCCTCCACAGGTCTTTGTTTAGTGCAGATTTAGTAAGCATGCACTTCATTCTGCTGTCCAAATTCTTAATGAAAATACTGAAAGAACCTGACCCTGGACAAACCTCTGTGAAACCTCATTCAGTTATTCTTTTCTTTTGATGCTGAGACACTGTTCATTAATCAGAGAAGTCTAGGCTGAAAGGGGCATCAGGAACCAATCATCTGACCTTCTGTTGCAAGCAGGGCTCTCTTAAACCAATTCTTCATTATTTCAGTGAGTGAGATTGTACCACTTCTTTCAGCAACTTATTCCAATGTTTAATAGATCGTACAAAGAAGAGTGTTTCTTCTGAAGAAACTCGTCACTATTACCTTTTATTCTGTCTTCATGTATCCCTGTGGAAAGAGTATCTCTATGTTTTCTGTAACTACCTTTTAGATAACAAAGGACTGTGGTTAAATTCCTCCTTGAGAGTTCTGATATCTAGGTCAAAAAAAACCCTAGTTACTTCAGTATTTCTTCGTATGCCGATTTTTTTTTGTATTCTTGGGGGTCTTCCACTGGACTCTGCAATTTCTCCGTGACTCTCTTAACCTGAAGGAACCACAAATGTATTCTGTATGTGACCTAAAAAATACTGATTAGGTCTGAATAATTACACACCT